GGAGATGTCTTTGGCCTCAAAGTCTGAAACTGATGTCAACTCTTAAACAACTGTTTGTCTCAAATCACACCTATTTTTGTTTTAAATTCAAAATTTTCCAATTGTTGTCAAATCTCGTGATTTAATTGTGTTAACCATTTAATTATGAATGCATTGTTGTCTTATAAATAACTTTATTAAACTTGTAATTAACTTTAAAATATGGTATCATTTCATCATTTCATACAATGATTACATTAACAAATATATTGTCAATACATTTGATCTTAATTATCACTAAACATGAAAAACAAAGTTTTCATATCAAACCAAAGGCGTGTATAAATTAATTTAATTGTTTGAGTGATTGCTAATTGTTTAATTGCTTTCGTTGAGAGCGCAATACATTGACGGCATTAAACAATTGGTCGACAACTCGATCGATCTGCTCTTTGGTGGTGTCCCGACCTGTGCTCAGACGTACTGTCCGTTGAGATGTTTCGACGCTAACGCCCGACGCTATCAACACATAGGAGGCCTTTATATAACAAAATTACAATTAATTCAAAACCAAACGCAATGCAAACCTGGCTTTAAGGCATGAGTAGTACCCCTGTAGGAAAATGGTCCCTCGGTATTCAAATAATAGTGTTTAGTGTCTAATATTAATGTAAAGTATTATACAAAAAAGTATTATTTGAATACCGAGGGACCATTTTCCTACAGGGGTACTACTCATGCCTTAAAGCCAGATGCAAACCCAATGGAAACCTTGGCATCCGATGAATGACAGGCGGCGCCCAAAGAGGCCCTCAGATTCGGGGTTTGGTTCAGGATTTCGGAGGCCATGAGATTATGGCAGTTATGAAACGCCAAACTTGTTGTGTTGGGTAACCGACCGAATGGACACTTTTGACAGTTAATTGAAATTAAATCATTGAATTTGTTCTTCAATTGGGTCTCAAAATATGTCTGAAGAGCGGAGAAATGCTCGTTATATTTGTCAATATTCTTGTGAACCAATTCGCAGGCCTTTGAGATAGAAAAAAAATGATACAATCATTTAATGTAAGAAAATAGACAAATAGATTAACAAATGGCCAAACCGTTGCCAACCCCACAATCATCGGCGTATTCTCAGTGCCGGCTCGTAAGCCATCCTCTTGTCCGCCGCCGAACACAACCGGAAGAAGTGGTGAATCCTTTCGACGATAAAGTGCACCACTTCTCGGCCCATAAAACTAATGCAAAAATAATAATTGCTAAATTTTAATTAAAACCGATTATAAATCGTTTGTCTCAAACCTTGTGGCCAACAATTGTGAGATAATCGAGGCGTAAGTCCTGGACATCGACCTCCACTTTGCCGATAGCCTGCGCCGCATCGCAATGAAAGCCCACTTTTGGCAAACCGTTGGCCACTCTCTGGGCGTTAGTCTTCGCCAAATTGGCGCCGATCTCACGGATCGGTTGAATAACTCCCGTCTCGTTGTTGGCCAT